ACGTCACATTTGACGAGTCGGTCCCCTACTACCGCCTCTTCCCCTACCGCACTCCGTCCCTTCCTCCGCCCCCGCTCTTCCTTGTGCCAGGTCTGTCCCCGGTAGACCCCCTTCCCCCTCAGGGTCCTGCCCCTTCAGGTGTGTCCCAGGTAGACCCAGTCGAGCCTGTCAAGGTTGCTGGTGACTCTGGTGCTGCTGAGGGTGCTGAGCCTGGGGGTGCTAACTCTGGGGGTGCTGAGCGCGTGGGTACTACGCCTGGGGGTGTTGAGCCTGAGGGTGCAGCTACAGGGGGTGCTAAGCCCGGGGGTGCTGAGCCCGGGGGTACTACGACTGGGGGTACTGAGCCTGGGGGTGCTACGCCTGGGGGTGCTGAGCCTGGGGGTGCTACGACTGGGGGTACTGAGCCTGGGGGTGAGGAGCCTGGGGGTGCGGAGCCTGAGGGAGCTGAGCCTGCTTGCGTCGCGTCTGGCGGTACCGTGCCTGGAGGTTCTCCGGGTACTTCGTCTCGGCGGGAGCCACTCTCTCCACAGGAGCTGCGCGAGTGGTTTGCCCGGCGCTGGAGGCGTGCTGCTGGAGCTGGAGGTTCTTCGGCTACTGATGGTGCTGCTGTCGCGGGTCCCGGAGGTGCTCGTACTGGGAGTACTGGAGCTGCTGGGCCTGCGGGTACGACTGGAGATGGAGCTAGTGAGGGTGTTGGCGCTGAGGCTACTGCTGGCGGTCCTACTGAGGGTGCTACTGGTGCTGCTGGAGGTCCTGGAGCTACTCGAGCTGCTGGGGGTACTAGAGCTGGAGGTGCTGCTAGCGCTGGTGCTCCTGCTGGGGGTATTGGTGCTGTCCCTGCTGTGTGTGGAGTCGCCGCGCGGCCTCGACCGTACTTCGTTCCGCTCCTTCAGCAGGTTCTTGGTCTTCCGCCTTCTACTGGTCCTCCTCCTCCCTTAGAGTGTCCACAGCCTGTCCCGTCACAGTTACTGTTACAACCGGCCTCCCCTTTGCCTACTCCTTCTCCCTACACTGATCCTACTGGAGATCTTGCTGAGCGTCGTGAGCCTGCGTCTCGCCCTGCGTCGCCTATCCGTCTTGCTCCCACTATTGGTCGTGGTTCGCGTCCGCGTCCTCCTCTAGTCCCTGGCACGCACCGGATGTCTCTGCGTCCATCCACTGCTCCTCTGCGTGCCCCTTTGCCTTCTCCTCCTGAGTCCTCTCTTCCTACTCTTACCGACCCGGAGTCGGACTCTCTTCGTGCTGCCACTCCTACTCTCACGCGTCTCCTTGCTACTGTCGTCAATGACCCTTCCTTTGAGTCCACTGCTGCGTCTGCCCTAGTTGCTACTCGCTGTCGTTTAGACTACGCTGCTAGTCTTGTCGCTGAGTCTGAGTCTGTCTGTCCTCCGTCCGTCGGGGGTGAGTGTGCCCTTGGCACGGACGTCCTTGAGGACAGGCAGGAGGAGTTCCAATGTCTGGCTGCTGCTTCACCTCATCTCGTGTCCGTACTGCTTACCCCTGAGGGAGACCCGGATGCACTTGACATCCCGACTCCGGGCTCTTACGCGGAGGCGATAGAGGGTCCCTACTCCTCTCAGTGGCAGGCAGCTATGGACACAGAGATGGCTTCCTGGAAGTCCACAGGCACCTACGTTGACGAGGTTCCCCCACCTGGGGCGAACATCGTCAGTGGCATGTGGATTTTTAGGGTGAAGCGGCCACCGGGTTCTCCGCCTGTCTTCAAGGCGCGTTACGTGGCTCGTGGCTTCAGTCAGCGGCAGGGAGTTGACTACTTTCAGACCTTCTCTCCCACCCCGAAGATGACCACTCTTTGGGTACTGCTGCACGTTGCTGCTCACCGTGACTACGAGCTGCACTCTCTTGACTTCAGCATAGCTTTCTTGCAGGGCAGCCTGCACGAGGAGATCTGGCTGCGCCGCCCACCTGGCTTCACTGTGTCGTTCCCTCCTGGCACCCAGTGGAGCCTCCAGCGGCCAGTCTACGGTCTCCGCCAGGCACCGCGTGAGTGGCACAACACACTGAGGACTACGCTTGCGGCTCTTGGGTTTGCTCCTTCTACTGCCGACCCGTCGCTGTTTCTGCGCACCAACACCTTTCTGCCGCCGTTCTACATCCTCGTGTACGTCGACGACTTGGTCTTTGCCACAGCTAACACTGCTGGACTCGCCTACGTGAAGTCCGAGCTGCAGAAGAGACACACGTGCACAGACCTGGGTGAACTGCGCAGCTACCTTGGCTTGCAGATCACCCGGGACAGAGCACGCCGCACCATTACCCTGACTCAGTCACACATGGTGCAGCAGGTCCTTCAGCGCTTCGGCTTCACGTACTCCTCGCCTCAGGCCACTCCTCTGCCTACTCGCCACTCGCTCTCAGCTCTGCCTTCGGATGAGTCCGTAGAGTCGAGTGGCCCGTATGCAGAGCTTGTTGGCTGCCTCATGTACCTGATGACCTGCACACGACCTGACCTTACATACCCTCTTAGCATTCTCGCATGCTATGTTGCTCCTGGGAGACACAGACCGGAGCACATGGCTGCAGCGAAGAGGGTGTTGCGCTACTTGTGTAGTACGTCAGGCATGGGGCTAGTGCTTGGAGGGCGGAGTCCAGTGGTCCTCACTGGGCACGCAGCCGCTTCTTGGGCTGACGACCAGGCTACGCAGTGGTCGTCACAAGGTTACACCTTCAGCCTTGGTTCTGGCTCTGTTTCGTGGCGGGCTACTCGTTCGTCTTCTGTTCTCGGCTCCAGTTGTGAGGCTGAGATCTACACAGGGGCCATGGCTGCACAGGAGCTTCGCTGGCTCACCTACCTGCTGACTGACCTCGGATTGCCGCCTTGTTCTCCTCCAGTTCTGTACGTAGACAACAAGGCCATGCTGGCCTTATGTCGGGAGCAGCGATTGGAGCACAGAACAAAGCACATTGCTCTCCGCTACTTCCTTGCTCGTGAGCTACAGCAGCGTGGTCAGTTCCGGCTTGCGTACATGGCCTCTGAGGCCAACACTGCTGATGTCTTCACTAAGGCACTTGCGCCTTGTGATCATCAGCGCTTCTGCCTGTCTTGCCTCACTTGCTCACCTCTTGACCTTGCTTGTACTGTTACATATATATATATACCTGCTCTTGCTTGTCTAGCCTTATATATATATATGTACTCCTGCATGTGAACTGGCCTTGTGGCCTTGAACTTGTGCTCGGAATGTGTGGTGACTTTGTGATCCGCCCTGAGCTTGCTTTGCTTTGCTTTGCTTGACTGGTCTTGTGACCATTTATTCTCCCCACTTTGCCTATGGGGGTGTGTCGGAACATTATAGCTTATGCATTTGTGTAGGCTGTAGTGGGGTAGCCCATAAGGGGTACAACCCAATTAGGGTTAGTACTTGTACCCAACTCTTTCATAGTTCATTCTTTCTCGTTTCAGTTTTCTCAAGCACATGTTGTAATTTCAACCTGCCGACGCTGAGTTGGCAAAGCGCAGCTAAAAGTAGTTATGTAAACGTTCTTGGGCGAATGTTCTTGTTAGAATACATCTATAACTGCCTATAGCTGTAGTTAATGTAGTTAGTATAAACTTGTTGGTGGTGCACCTTCTTTGCATGCTTTGTTTGCTATTTGTACCTCGCTCAATAGTGAACTCCCCACTCTTTGCCTAAACTCTCTCGACTCCCTTTGGCCTAGGCTACTAAGCCTAGGCCCTACTCTTACTATCTCAACATGGTATTCACAGCAGGCACTTTCCTACTGCCTTCCTTAATGGGCCCATCAGTCTGCTTACGCTGCCTGTCGTCCTGTCGCGCGCCTCGGGCGTGCGGCGTATTTTTCTCGCTGTGCGATTTTCTGCCCGCCGTGTGCTCGTTGCGCACGGCGGTTTTCTGCCCGCCGTGCGCAACGGGCGCGCGGCGTCTTCCTGCCCTACGCGCGACCTGCCCTCACGCCGCCTGCGCGCCTGCCCCACGTCAGCGTGCGGGCCTGTTCTACACGCCCGTACCCTGCCCCTCGCGGCGCCCTGCGAGGCGCCGCTTCTACTCGTCGCGACGCCCCTGCGGGACACGTGCGTCGCTGCTCATGCTCGTCGCAACGCCCCTGCGGGACCCGCACGACGTCGCCCTGCTCGTCGCGAGGCCCCTACGGGACCCGCAGGGTGTCGGCTCTGCTCGTCGCGGCGTCCCCTGGACGCCGCCCCTGCTCGTCGCGGTGCCCCTGAGGCGTCGCCCCTGCTCGTCGCGGCGCCCCCTGGGCACCGTTCTTGCTCGTCGCGGCGCCCCCCCTCCTCGTCGCCACCTCCTCTGCGCCGGCGCCTCCTCTACAGCAACGTGCGGGCCTGCCCTGCACCAGCGACACCGCCCCTGGAGCAGCCGCCCCTGCAGCAGCCGCCCCTGGCCCCTGGAGCAGCCACCCCTGGTGCAGCCGCCACTGCAGTTGCCGCCCCTGACCTCTGGAGCAGCCACCCCTGCAGCAGCCGCTCCTGACCCCTGGAGCAGCCGCCACTGCAGCAGCCGCCCCTGGCCCCTGGAGCAGCCGCCCCTGGTGCAGCCGCCACTACAGCAGCCACCCCTGGCCTCTGGAGCAGCCGCCCCTGCAGCAGTCGCCCCTGGCCCCTGGAGCAGCCGCCACTGCAGCAGCCGCCCCTGGCCTCTGGACCCAGTGCAGCCGCCACTGCAGCAGCCGCCCCTGGCCTCTGGAGCAGCCGCCCCTGGCCCCTGGAGCAGCCGCCACTGCAACGGCAGCCCCTGGCCCCTAGCTCAGCCGCCCCTGCACCAGCCGCCCTCGTGCCCTCTGCTTTGCCCGCGCCCTCGTGCACTCTGTCTCACCTGCGCCCGCCTGTTGCTGCCCGTGCCTGTGCTGCCCGTTGCCGCCCGTTGCTGCCTGTGCCTGTGCTGCCTGTTGCCGCCTGTTGCTGCCCGTGCCTGTGCTGCCCGTTGCCGCCCGTTGCTGCCTGTGCCTGTGCTGCCTGTTACCGCCCATTGCTGCCCGTTGCCGCCCGTTGCTGCTCGTGCATGTGCTGCCCGTTGCCGCCTGTTGCTGCCCGTGCCTGTGCTGCCCGTTGCCGCCCGTTGCTGCCTGTGCCTGTTCTGCCCGTTGCCGCCTGTTGCTGCCTGAGCCTGTGCTGCCCGTTGCCGCCCGTTGCTGCTTGTGCCTATGCTGCCTGTTGCCGCCTGTTGCTGCCCGTGCCTGTGGCGCCCGTTGCTGCCCGTGCCTGTGCTGCCCGTTGCCGCCCGTTGCTGCCTGTGCCTCTGCTGCCTGTTGCTGCCCGTTGCTGCCCGTGCCTGTGCTGCCCGTTGCCGCCCGTTGCTGCCTGTGCCTGTGCTGCCTGTTGCCGCCTGTTGCTGCCCGTGCCTGTGCTGCCCGTTGCCGCCCGTTGCTGCCCGTGCCTGTGCTGCCCGTTGCCGCCCGTTGCTGCCCATGCCTGTGCTGCCCGTTGCCACCCGTTGCTGCCCGTGCCTGTGCTGCCCGTTGCTGCCCGTGCCTGTGCTGCCCGTTGCCGCCCGTTGCTGCCCGTGCCTGTGCTGCCCGTTGCCGCCCGTTGCTGCCCGTGCCTGTGCTGCCCGTTGCCGCCCGCTGCTGCCCGTGCGTGTGCTGCTTGTTGTTGCCTGTGCCTGTGCTGCTTGTTGCTGCCCGTGCCTGTGCTGCCACACTCCCCCCCCCCCCCCCCCCCCCCCTCCCCCCGCCTTTTCTTTGTCTCCCTGCTACGCGTGCAGCCGTGGAACGGAGGGTATGGGGGTGATGGGTGGTGTGTTTCCCTTCCCCTCCTCCTCCTTTCGTTCCCACTGCTGCAGCTGCCGCTGGGGGGAGGGTGTGAGGGTGTGGGGGAGCCAGGGGAGTGGCATTGGGGTGGCGGGTGTGAGACCATCCAGCCCCCGTCCCTCTGAGGTGGGGGGGGGAGGAGAGTAAAAGGGTGGCAGGAGTGCCTGCCCCTTTGCTGCTGTACCTGCTTTGTTACCTTGCCTGCTGTTGCTGTTTTCTCTGTTCGTGGTGTACCCATCCAGGATGTGTCGCTGCACAGACTCCTGCTGCAGGCAGTTATGGGGGAGTGTTAGAATATATCTATAACTGCCTGTAGCTGTAGTTAGTGTAGTTATTATAAACTTGTTGGTGGTGCACATTCTTTGCATTCTTTGTTTGCTATTTGTACCTCGCTCAATAGTGAACTCCCCACTCTTGGCCTAAACTCTCTCGACTCCCTTTGGCCTAGGCTACTAAGCCTAGGCCCTACTCTTACTATCTCAACAGTTCTCTGCATGGTTCATTGGTTGGGTAGCTTCTATTTCACCCCTTGTTGTATTCTATCTTTCAACTATTCTAGTGAATTCTCTTTGTGTGCCAAGTCTATGCCTTTCTCAACACTTAGCCAAATTTCTCCTTAGTGAACAACAAAGTTTGCGTGGCTGCAGAGAAGCATTTCGTAGAGCTCCAACTCCCGTTAGAGGAGAAATCTCTGCACAAAATCATGCCGCACTCCAACGCAGCTACGGTGATTGGTTCAGCAGCAGCCACTCGTGAAAGTGAGAAGACCGCTCACTATGCTACAGCACTTCGTGACTATCCAGACATCAAACTGTTTCCCCTTGTCATTGAAACCTTTGGTTGCTTCGGCTCTTTGTTCAACAACTTCCTTCGCCAATGCAGCCACAAAGGGGCGTCACAACTCCGCGACTTGAGTGGTGCCACAGATTCTCTTCCCTAGCTGTTTGAGACCAACTTCTACAAACGGATTTCTCTGGTCCATGAACGTGAGCAGGCTCGCACTGTTTGTCGTCGTGCACAAATCCATTTTACCGAGGGCGTCAACCACGCACCACCTGAAGTGACTTCTCTTTCTGCATCTGACTTTGCCTACTTGGGAGAGGACCATTGAGACATCACAGAGGCCTATTTGTAGGCCTCACAATAGGATTAGCCTGCATGTCTCTCCATACACTACGTCTCTAGATTTGCCTTGTATCCATTGTACATTTACTATAGTGTCAATAAAGAGGTACTGAATTGTCTTGCTTGATTCATACTTGCCATCCCGCCTTTCATGGAAATCACGATCGTATTTTTTTCCCACGCCACAATTTTGGGCTTGAGCGACAAATATGCGAAGCAGTGTAACCCTGGCGACACTAAAGCATTGTCGCCTGCGAATGTCGTCCGACTATTTCCACGGGACACTGGCTCGCGGGCCATTGCTCCCCCCAACAACCATTTCCACGAGAGTGGCGCTTGGGTCGTGGAACCTGGGAATATCGGTTCGGTTCGAATCGTCACTGCTCTGAATCGCAGCGTTTAACAATTAAACCATATTTCACCATTCAGACCGTATGAACTTATGGAATATTTGCAGAATACCCCTACACCACCTGGTGGATCTCGCTTGCTATACTGTAGTGGAGGAGGTTGATTGGGGGATGGCATTTGCAAGCGAGAGAGACAAAATCCTTGACTTCCCGCCTAGTAGACTCTAGGATCTTGCGGCCATTCTTGTGCCAGGTGGCGCGCTCTTTACGGTATGTCGCATCCGGCATCATTGCGCAAAATCACTCCTTACGTGGGGTATACGTTGTGTGCATGTACTATCCACTTCAGCTTGAACCGTCATGGCGCAAATCAGACACTCTACTGACGACCCGCCAACCGTCGTGTTTGCCGACTTTAACGACACACTCGTGAGGATGTTTCCTCAACCGCCTCTCACGCGCCGATCTCACACACCGTGCCAGGTGGCGCGCTCTGCGAGTCTGCCGTCTTTTTGGCCCCACTAGAAACGACTCGGTTAGGAGAGGTTAGTAGAGGTGGTACTGGTGCTGGACTGCGCGTCATGGAGCTTTCCTCCTCGCAAATTACTTGCCGTGGGGGTGGCTGGATGCTCACTATAAAACGACCGTACTTGCCGCACTCGAGACACACTCTTACGGTAGAACGGTTCTCCTCGACCGCCGCCTCTCACGGGCCGGCGCCGCTCTCACCCACACCTCACCAACATCCTCTCCTCGCCACCTGTCGCTTGCATCGTCATGGCCTCCTCGCGTCGCTTCTCCGTCCTAGCAGCTGCGTCGCTCGCGGCGGTTCTGCTCCTCGCCGCGGCGAGCGGCGCATTCGCGCGGCGACACCGGCAGCCTCAGCCTCGCCCCATAGTTCACGTTGATGTGGCAAGCACCGCCGCCACCGTTAAGCCGCCCCCGCTACTTAAATGCACGAAGCCGCTTCTAAAGGACTACTCCAAGTCCGTCGTAATAGCCAACGGGTGCGTGATTGGTCCTCGATCATATTCCGTTGTTCCTAAAATCTCCAAGTCCTTACACATTTCTGGGTACCCTCACTCACTTCAAGAAATCGTCGGATCTCGTGCCTGCACTACTGGTTGACCCGTGCCAACTTGCACCTCCTAACTGTCAGTTCCCAATACTCCCCAACCTACGACCACTCCCCACACCCGACTACCATTCCCCTCTTACCACTACGTGTTCCCCAGCCTGTACCTGCACTGGAACATCACCGACGCCAAGGACGGAATCATGACAACGCTCGAGTTGCACCTCCTCATTCTCGGCTACCATACTCCCCATCCCCCTGTGTATCATACCTCCAGCCTTCTCCTCCACTGGAACATCACCGACGCCAAGGACGGGATCATAACAGCGCTCGAGTCACCACTAAGTTGCTCCTCCCTCATTCTCGGTTCCCATGATATGTGAAAATTTAGAAGAAAGAAGAGGGTTGAACTAGCAAGAATGGGGATACAAATAGCAAACCCTAGAAGGGTTGTACTCGCTATGGAGCACCCCACTACAGACTAGAGCATAATATTCTGACACACCCCCATAGCCAAAGTGGGGTGTAATCAGCAGAGCAAGCAAAGCAGTACAAGCTCAGGGTGGATCACAATGTCACCACACATTCTGAACACAAGTTCAAGAAGCAATAGTTTAAAGTTAACAATTATGAGCAAAGCTAGAGGCTATCGTAGAGGGCAAGTGAGGAGGAGGAGGCGAGAGTGAGAGGAGAGGAGATAGGAGGCAACGGCTGAAGCTGCAGACACACGGGCAACAGGAGTGTCAAAGTTTAGAAGAGAGAAGAGGATTGCACTAGCAAGAAGGGGGATACAAATAGCAAACCCTAGAAGGGTTGTACTCGCTATAGAGCACCCCACTTCAGGCTAGAGCATAAGATAACATTCTGACACACCCCCATAGCCAAAGTAGGGTGTAATCAGCAGAGCAAACAAAGCAGTACAAGCTCAGGGTGGATCACAATGTCACCACACATTCTAAGCACAAGTTCAAGAAGCAATAGTTTAAAGTTCACAATTATGAGCAAAGCTAGTGGTAGTCACAACGGGCAAGTGAGGAGGAGGAGAGAGAGTGAGAGGAGAGGAGATAGGAGGCGACGGCTGAAGCTGCAGACACACGTGCAACAAGAGGCAGACTGGCACAGCGGCTACCGGGCGAAGCCCCCGGAATACTGGAGTAACTGGCCCCGCGGCTAAAGTAGCGGCAGACGAGCAACGGACCCACGGGCGGCTGGCACAGCTGGCTACGACTGGGCTACCGGGCGAAGCCCTCGGAATACAGGTGCTGCTGACGACACGACGGCAACCTCCATGCAACTTCCCCAAACTATCCAACTCCCCCTGGCACACACCCGCTGCTACACCGCTAGCTCCACTCCGCCTTCACCCCCCCTTAGTACCACTCCACCGGCTCCAACACATCCATCCCCCCTCAGCGGCAGCTGCAGCACAAGGAGACGGAGGAGGAGGAGGAGCGGGGGAGACCACACACCCGCCACCGCGGCCCCCGAAGGAGCCGCGACGGGCGACGGGAAAAGGGGGGGGGGGGGGTGGGGGAGGCGGTGCCGTAGGTAGGGCGACGGGGCCGGTGCCGAGGCGCAGGTAGGGCGACGGGGCGCAGGTAGGGCGACGGGCCGACCACGGGCCTGGTAGGGTCGCCCGAACCGCGCGCAGGTGGCCCGAGCCGCGCGCGGGGCTGGCGCCGCCTGTACGGGCCGCGCGCAGGCCTGGAGCAGCCCGTACGGGCCGCGCGCTGCCTGTACGGGCCGCGCTCAGGCCACGACGGGCGACGGGGGGCGACGAACGGGTCCCCGTCGCCCGTCGCGGCGCCGCCCAAGGGCGACGCGCCGGTCGACGGGGTAGAAGCCCGCCGCGCGCCTCGGGGCGCACAGCGGGCAGAGAACCGCCGCGCGCCTCGGGGCGCATGGCGGGCAGAAAAAACCGCCGCGCGCCTTGGGGCGCACGGCGGGAAGAAAAATGCCGCACGCCACGGGGCGTGCGGCTCAGAGGGTAGTTGCAGTAGTAGCAGCGGAAGCGAGAAGGTGGTAAGCCCACCCACAGGATCGATCCAAGGGGATCGACCTGCTCTGATAGCATGTCAAAGTTTAGAAGAGAGAAGAGGATTGCACTAGCAAGAAGGGGGATACAAATAGCAAACCCTAGAAGGGTTGTACTCGCTATAGAGCACCCCACTACAGGCTAGAGCATAAGATAACATTCTGACAAGGAGGCACACTGGCACAGTGGCTACCGGAGCAACTCTCCGGACTACTGGAGTAACTGGCCCCGTAAACCCTAAACCCCCTACTGCACCCCTAGGGTCACTCACACCCCACCCCCTAGCACGACTCCGTCGACTCCCACACACCCACCCTCCTCAGCGGCAGCTGCAGCAGTGGGAGACAGAGGAGGAGGAGGAGCAGGGGAGACCACACACCCGCCACCCCCCCACTCGCCACCCCCAAACCCTAACATAGGGCAGGGCGGGATGGCGGGTAGGGAGGTTACGGGGGAGGGAGGGGGGGGGGGGGGGGGGGGCGATGCGCGGCCTCCCAGGGCGCCACAACAGGCGGCAGAAGGGGCGACGCCCGCCCCCTTCCCCCACGTCCCCGAGGGAGCCGCGACGGGCGACGGGAAATGGCCGGGCCGGGGCCGGGGCCATGCAAGGGCGGCGACGGGGTCGCTGCGCGCGGCGACGGCGCGGCCGATGCGGGCGGGGACGGGTCGCTGCGGGCGGTGACGGGGCCGCTGCGGGCGGCGACGGGGCCGCTGCGCGCGGCGACGGGCCCGCTGTGGGCGGCGACGAGGCCGATGCGGGCGGCGACAGGGCCGCTGCGCGCGGCGACTGGCCCGCTGCGGGCGGCGACGGGGCCGATGCGGGCGGCGACGGGGCCGCTGCGCGCGGCGACTGGCCCGCTGCGGGCGGCGACGGGGCCGACGCGCGGGTCCTCGTCGCCCGTCGCAGCGCCTCCTGAGGGCGACGCGCCGAGTGGCGGGGCAGAAGCCCGCCGCACGCCTCGGGGCGCACAGCGGGCCAAGAACCGCCGCGCGCCTCGGGGCGCACGGCGGGCAGAAAA